AAAAAAAGACAAGCAGAAATAAAAAAAAGAAATCTTACCTAATGCTATATGTAGTTGTGGATAAGATGGACAAACAAGGAAGGTCAAAGATTTTATATTAGCGAAGGCCTCATTATTAACCCATCAAGCATCTAATAAAAAATGAATTTAAGTTAAACAATAAGGAGAGAAAGTAGTTGAATATATCAGAAAGAACCAATGAAACTATACTTATCTGGAAATGCAATATAAACATTTTCAAATTAGTGATTGAACTCTGAAACTATTGTATAATTTGTGATATAAAAGATCTATCACATTTCATATTTCACAGATTAAATTCACACGCTATTTAAATATTATGACACTTAAATAATACAATAAATTCTCATACCGAAAGTAAAGGCAATAATAAAAAAAAAAAAAACCAAAAAAAATAAAAATAAATAAAATGTAGTTTGTGCAGGCTGATATTTAAAAACTCAATTGACTTTATAACATCAGTCTTGTTTGTTAAATATAACATTTTATCAAAATGGTACGATTATCGAAAAGAAAGATTCACTTACAAAAGATTAAGGTGCAAAGGATAGCCAAAAAAAGGAGTCAGGCAGAAGCTTTGGAAACTTGTAACAGCAGTGGCAATGAACTTAATGATGTTGAGGATAGGGAAATAAGTATTTTGAGATCTAAGGAAGCGGATAACGTAATTACAAGGTTGATGCAGGCAGTTCCAGAAGTAACAACTCATTGGCCACTTGTATATATTGAAAACTCAATAAGAACAAAAAGAAGACGGAAACAAATGCAGTGAGAAGCTGCAGCTAGAACACCCAAGTTAGAATTATATTGGTTATCTGTAAGTTATTTTTCACTAAATCTAGCTAAAAATGTAATAATTGTAATGTGAATTAATGTTAAATTACTTTGATTAAATCTTTTTAAAAAGATGGTGAATAGACATATAAATACAAATGATGATAATATAAGTGATACAATTAGTTCGGATAGTAATTCTGAAACTTTTGGAAGTGACTCTGAAGTTGAAATTGCTGAAAGTTACAATATCATGTCCTTAGAAAACTTGAACAATACTATTAAGCAATTGAAAAAAGAAATCAAAAGTAATAAACATAGTGAGATAGTAAAGGCACATCTTTATACAATGCTGTCCTATTTTCATCTTGTAGAGCATGGTCGTAAAAGGATTGAGCCAAGCATTATTGTGGCAGAAGCAGCTGAAAAAGGTGTTTATCATGCTCGTTGCATATATGTATAGGCAGTAAATTATGTTAAAAATAGTAAATTTCCGATTTCAAGACAAGACAAATATCCAAAAACTTGGAGTTTTCTATGGGATGACAATGTTTTAATTCAGAACAAGTTATTTCTTCGATCAAATAAGTGGAATATTAATTCAGACGAACTGGCAAAACACGTAAATGAAAAAATCATCCCAAGACTATGCTTTGATCCATTACCAACTATATGCATAAGAACAGCTAGAAAGTGGCTACAAACATTTAGGTTTGAGTACTCGGAAGTTAGAAAAGGAATGTATATGGATGGATATAAGCGTACAGATGTGGTGGCTTATTGTGAAAGGTTTTTGGAAAGAATGGTGAAATTTGAAGCACATATAGTGGTTTTTTCTAGTGAAAATATAGAAGAAGAAACTAGACCAGATTTTGATGATATTATTATTTTGGTAACAAATGATGAGTATATTTTTTCAGCTTATGATGGAAGATGTTGGCTCTGGTTGCCAAAAGGGGAGCAACCACTTTGTAAAAAAGGCCAAGGACAGTCAGTTCATATAAGTGAATTTCTCACTAATATTGGTGGGCGTTTAGCATTACGTGAGGAAGACAAGATATATATGCAATGTCTTATTTATTTAATTTTATAATTAGAAAGTTCTAATTAAAATTTTTTAGGTTGCTTTCCCCAACCTTCTGTCAGAAGCATATATCATAACTTACCTAGATAAAGATAGTGATAGATGGTAGAATTCGGATAATCTTGTGGATCAGGTGATAAACAGAGCAATCCTGATATTTGAAGCTCGGTTTCTGAATGCAAAGGCTCTTTTTGCATTTGACAATACAACTAGTCATTATGCATATGCCAAAGATGCCCTTTTAGCAAAAAACATGAATTTATCTCCTGGCAGAAAACAGCCAAAAATGAGGTTTGTATATTATTATAAGTATTTTAAATTTTTACAGCAATACATTAACATTAAATGTTCTCAAACAATAGAAGTACTATATACAAAAATGATATTCCGTAAGTTATATGCTTTTCTGAAGATTATAAAAATCCTAATCTTTATGGTGAATCAAAGGGTCTAAAGCAAATATTGGGTGAGAGAGGATTGTGGCGTGATGAAATGAGATTAGCATGTAAAAGAGGGTGTGAACAAGGAAGAACTGATTGTGCAATAGAATGACAATGGTGAACCAACCAGATTTTAAAGCACAGTGCAGAAAAATTGAAGAAGCAATTATTTCTGCTGGCTATAAAGTTATTTTTTATTTAAAGTTCTATTGTGAATTAAATTATATAAAAAATTTTTGGGGTCAGCAAAGCGATATGCATGCAATCACTGTGACTATATCTGGGAAGGTTTGAAAAGAACTGTGTCACAAGCTCTTGAATCAGTGCCTCTTACTGAAATTAGACGATATGCCCAGAAGTTCTTTAGATATATGGATATGTATCGCAAAGAGTTAACAGGAAAACTTGCAGAATATGCTGTGAAGAAATATTAGTCGCATTGCCATGTATCAGATATGATTTTAAATGAGATTGATGCATTAAATAATTAGCAGGTAGGTAATAACTTTATTATCTAGTATTATTTCAGCAATACTTGATTTTTTATTATATTTTTACTTTTTGCCTTTTAATAAATTAAGTTCATATTTAGATACATCTATTTTATATATCAATATTATTAGAATTGGGATCAAAAAGAAAAATATAAAGCATTTATTGTTATAAAGAGTCTGAAATTAGAATTTTAATAAAATATTTATGGTTGTTACTGGGAATTGGAGTTAAATTGAATGAATACAAAACATTTATTATTAAATTTGTAGTATGTTGAAATCAAAATTTTATCAATATAAGTACAAAATTATTTTAAATAAACTTAAAATAAATTTAACCTGAAATTATAATGGTTTGTAGTTTTATCAGTTCTTACAGTTTTTTGTTAAAACAATAAAATTCAAAATACTTGTTAAATCAAACTTTTGAATATAATTGTATATATATATTGAGTATTTTTTATGATTATTGCAGTTGCGAAATTTGAAGATCATTAAAAAAAAAGTAAATCACTGATTTCTGATTTCTTCAACAGTTTTTTTGACTTTTAGACTAGACAAAATTTGCATATTTATCATTTGTAAAAATTTGATTGAATATTTTAATACACAACTCCTATTTCTGCAAACATATTACAAAATAATGAATATGCAATTTTTATTTCTATAAAAATAATAAAATTTTTACAAAATAATAAATACACAAAATTTTACATTAAAAAAAATGTTGAAGAAATCGGAAATCAGTGATTACTTTTTTTTTAATGATTTTTAAATTTCACATAATTTTGCAAACCGCAATAAATAATTGTGATTGCGATCGCAATTGCTAAAGCCAGCCAGTTTATCATGAATCTGAGCTTGTCAATCTCAGATTTATGATAAATTTGCCAGCTTTAGCAATTGTGATCGCAATTACAATTATTTAATCATAAAAAATTAACTATTAGAGATCACAAAATTATGCAAACCGCAATAAGCATCATATATTTTATCATGCATTTATATTTGATATATGCCGATTTTATTTCTGTTAAATTTTTATAACTTTTCTGATATGAAATATATCTTAGCTCAATATAAGTTTTTTTCAAATATTATTCAGAAGCTGCTAATATAATGCTTGATATATATAAAAATAAATACCAAATTTCATTATCGTTTTAGAAATCTTTTATTTGGAAATCTGATATATCAATGCAGTTAGTGATCAATATGAACTACCTTAAATTGCTTACATATATCATTACACAAATCATAAATCACGATATGAATTATGATATGAATCATGATATTCATGATACAAATTATGATTGAATCACGATACTGAATCATGATACGAATCATGATCAAATTACGATACAAATCATGATCAAATCACGATACAAATCATGATCAAATTATAATACAAATCGTAATCGAATCATAATACAAATCACAAGCAATTCTATTTTTTTTTTTTTTTTTTTTTTATTGCCATAATTTCCTGCAATTTTATTGGCTCTGACCCAGCTTCTGACCCCAGACAAAATTTGGCTGCATATATAGGACTTGCTGATTTAAGAATTCTTGTACTATATTAATAAACTTTTTATAGTAAAGATTTAGTGACTTAATGAAGTTGATAGGTTGTTGCATCCCTAAGCAGCAGAAAAAGAGTTTAAATCTTATTAGTAATGAAATTCAAATTTACAGAATGCATTTGGAAAACTATATTCTATTGGGTTAGCACTTATAATAGGGTCACACCAGCTTGTACTAAAAGGCAGTAAAACATTAATATAATATATAAGTTATACAAAACTTGAGTGAAGCTGCTGAGTAAAACCAATTGATTAAGATATGGAAGCCCACTTGGCAAGATCTGAGTAGAGAGGTAGTATAAATTTTTGATGATACTATATAAAGGATTATCTTTGAAAATAATGAGAACTGAATAGAACCAAAGTATTTGGCAAGGCACTTCACTAAATAAACTGCCAAATAAGAAATCAGAAGAAAAAGACCTAACCATAGAGATCAAGAACAGATTACAGTTCTTTTGGACCATCTGAATTGGTAGTTTAAAATGATAGGAGTATGAAGATAGTTTGTATAGTGAATACTAGGGTTTGGGCAAACTTTATAAAGACCAGATAATTAGGCAATGCAGCCTACTCATAAAGGCTTAGAACTTATTCAGCTAATATGTCTGTGAAAAAGTTGGTAGTGTGATCCTATTCAGTAGTTTTTATCTAAAGAAACTAGGTCTATATATTAGAAGTAGATAACAGACAGCTCTAATAATGATGTTTTGAGGATAAAGTAGTCCTATAAGAAATAGATTAAGCATCTGGAACTTCTTGACTAACTAATGTAATAGAGATAGTGATACAAGTAGAGTTGCATTACAGAGAGTTTAAATAGATAAGGGCAGTGTCATTTATCATCTGATTTTTTTTTATCAGAAGCTTACACCTTCTTTCCTCTTTTAATATATATCTTGATCAGGTCTTTATATATAATTTTAAATTTTTTACTCCTCTCTCACTCTAAAAAATCATCTAATTTTTATTATATCTCTAATCTTGTAGTTAAGTTGCTAGTATAGCATATAGTATAGAACCTATCCCTTAGATTGTAGTAGAACGCAAGCAAATTTGCCTGCGTTTTTGCACTTTTTTAGCTCTGATTTATTTTTTA